CAAATTCATGGGTTCTATAAAGCGTATTTTAAAAAAATTAAAGTTGAAGACCCAACCGAATTTTTTTAATACAGGTACAAGGATGACTGTACCAATTTTTAATAAATTATTGGAAATGGTAAAACCGCATATAATTGCAAAACATCATTTGCTCGATCAAGTTGGACCGGAGGAACGTTTAGCATTAACGTTACGGTAAGTAGAGGTATATCTGGGTAAAAGTATAAGTACTGTCCGATATTTTTCAGTGTTTTTGTTAATGTTTTTTTTTTTCGGAGAAATGTTGCCACATACAAATTATCACACTTTGATGTACTTTTTCCAATATACACTCTATTTTTTATTAACGCAGTAGGTCTATCAACACAGAACTTAACTAATACCCAATCACCCAGATTAAACTGATCATCGATCTTGTTGGTAGACTCTACCAACAACAAGATACCAGGTATCTACTGGTTGAATGCCCAACTTCATGTGTAGACTTGCTCGGCTGATTATTAAAAGGATCATCAGTGGAAGTATAAGCATATAGTTTTCATATGTGCTTAGCTCACTGTCACTACTTGAGGTTGAATCACACTTTACACTTTTCCCTGGTTCTACATTCATTTTCTTATTTTTAGATTTTCTGAAAGGTTTCTCAGGGTATCGCATCTCTTTCAATAGGTCGATGATGGATGTATTAATAGCACTAACATCTTGAGGGTCTAAAGTCTCCTTGGGCAATTGGTGTAACACTTCTTTGTTCAAAGGAATTAATCCAGTCTTTCGAAACCCTGAAATTATATTTTCCTTTGCGTTTTTTATGATTCCTTCCACTAATTGTTTTAGTAATCGAGGCACACTAGCCTCTGTTCGTCCAGGTCCCTTTTTCCAATCTAACAAAATTTTCCGCCACATGGTCGGAAAAATGCCACATCGAGGGGTTGTGTTAAGTGTGTGGAGTTGGGTGGCAAAACAGCTCTTTGATAACCTTGATTGAAATATGGGAAGCCAAATTATCTCCGATTAAAATTTTTCGACCTTCTAATTTTTATAGAATTATGACGGTCATCACCCAATCTTCAAAGCAATCCATATCGAACCATCCAGACGGAGTACGATTGTATCTTGTGTTGGACGACCTTCTCTCCATGTACTGCACATATTTTGAGCTTTATAGACGACATAGAGCGGGAGTAGTTGTCCGTCGGACGTTGCAGATTTGCTGTTGTTCATAACACGCTCAGGATGTTTGGCACCTCTCCGCGCTATAATTTTCTTTCGACCAACATCATCAGATAAGTTCGTCTCGTCGTAGTATGATCACATGCGTTGGTGGTACATCCCTTAATGATTCAGATAGATTAGAAAAATATTTCTTAAGAATATCTCGAGATACTTGGGCTCTAGATCTTTTGATATTCTCACACATGCGGTTTGATATTTCTTTTTTGTGTCATTAAGAAACTAAAAACAAACTCTTTACCTGGTAAATTGTTATTAAAACGAGGCACATTTCTGCCTAACTTGTCCAAATAATTCTTGACTAATAGTCTTAAATCGTAAGTATCAATAGGATATCCCCAATCGGAACAGATATTTATATTTCCAATAATTGTCTTTTTTTTTATTATTATTTACTTACTTCTTTTCAACAATATAAATAAAGTTATTTGACTCACTTTTGAAACAGATTACGATAACTAACTTTGGGGTTATGTTAACATTCTTAAGAATGCACAAAACTTGAATAAGTACTGCCACCTAGTGGGTTGAACATGTATCTAATTTTTGGTATCTGTAAGCTTTGTACAGTATACAATAGTATAGTTATCTAGGAACAGTCGCCAATAAAGTTTTGGATGTATTCATCCCATAGTCCCGATTCACCCCGTTTTACGGTAGTACTTACTCAAATAAGAAAATTTATGTGATGGGCAGGAATTTTATGCAACAGTTTGTTTTTAGTTATTTATCACTGGGGTGTTCAATGCAAGCAATTGCGTGGACGTATCACCTTGGACATGCAACTGTTCACACTACCATTGAAAGCGTGGTAGAAATTATATGGAAGTGGAACGTTCTATTTAAAACCACCATCCTCGGAAGAAGAATGACGATTGATTGCCAAGCAGTTTGAAACTACTTAAATGGAATTTCCCAAATTGTATTGGTGTTTTAGATGGGAAGCACATCCATATTCAAGCTCCAGCAAAAAGTGGAAGCTTGTACTTCAAATACAAGAAAAGTTTCAGCATGGTTTTATAGGGAAGAAAAGTGTTACGTCACAGATACTGTTGGTACCCACTGCTTGCCTCCAAACAAAAATATTCACCTGTTTTTATTTCATTTAAAAAATTTCAATTTGAAAATATAAAGTTGTTGCGTCCCCAAACTAGAATAAAATATCCTTTCGTTTTTCCTTTAACCCATTAGAGCCCACCGTCCTCATTTGGGGACAATGAATAAAACTACCCAGTGTTGGCATCTAGTGCATAAGAGTGACATCTTAGGATGTTCAGATGATAAATAGTATAGCGTCCTAAGTTGTCACCACACACAAATGCAATAGGCCATATCATTTTGAAGTTTTATTTCTGTGAAACACACGTGTGTATTTTTAGTGTTGTGCACCGGAATACAAAACGTGGTATTTTATGTGTTTTAGGAACTCTACGCCTGTGTTGGTGCATAAATAGGTATTCAAAAACCTCCGTGAAGAGCTTGCTACATTGGATGGGAGCAAGTTGTATTTTCCGGAAAAACTATTGGTAAGTTTTGATTGGTGTACTCATATGGGGACAATGGGCTGAAGCACGACGAGAACACAAATAAATGAATTGAATTACTTCTTTCGCATTTCCGCAAATTCATAGTGTTAGGTGGGGTCGGTAACCACCAAATACTTTGAATTTTAGATTGCATAAGTGCTATCGGCCCTTGCCTGCAATCCCTCTATAGCTAGTCCTACAGAAAGCTCTAAGAAGTTATTGTAAAAAAAGAAAAAGTAAATAAACAATAACGCTTTCTATTCCATTTTGTTGTTCTACTAAATATTATTATTTATTTTACAGAAACCGATGGATCATGACGATATTGCTTCAATACCCGTTCGGCAATTTTATCCTCAGAGGATTTATTTGCATTTACAAGCTGCAATAGAAGATCTTGCTGCAAATGAGACGCAAAATGAAGTCGATATTGTAGTTGTTCCACCGGATATAGACCCCCAAACAGATGAGAAAACTTTCGACGATGACGTAATCCAGGAGGAAGAGTTGTCAATGCCTTTGGATGGTGCGGGTCAAGTTGAACTACACAATATCGACCATGATGAAAACGAAGGTAGCGACGAAGAAGATGACGTGCCATTGTCAGTTCTTCGCCAGACAATGAGGCAAGGTATGGGAAATAGAGGAATAGGTCAAAGTTCTACGCCCATCTGGACCAAAAATTATGTATATATCGGAATGCCATCTACATCGGCTGGAAATTGTCTAGAAATAATGAAACATGATTTAGAACATCTTCCTCCAGTTGAAACTTTTGAAAAACTATTTGACAATGAAATTTATGATCATATTGTCACACAAACTAACATTTATTCCTCCCAAAAAAACTAGCACGATTTTTTCGTATCAAGGGCTGATATGAAACTGTTTGTTGGTATTCTTCTTCTAACGGGGTATCACAGACTTTCAAGTGAAAGAAACTACTGGAGCCTGGATTGTGATCTGAACGTATCAATTGTTGCAAATGCCATGTCCCGCAATCGTTTCCTGGAGATCAAAAAATACATCCACCTTGCTGATAATGATCATCTTGATAAAACGATAAGATGTCAAAGCTGCGTCCACTTATGACCAAACTGAATCAAAATTTTCAGCAGTGGAGTTTATTTCATGAGCATCTTTCGATTGATGAAGCAATGGTGAAGTTCTTCGGCCGACATACCAGCAGACAGTATATTAGAGGGAAACCCGTTCATTTCGGATATAAGAACTGGATGCTGTGTAGCTCCACAGGTTACACATATGGGTTTGATACCTATTGTGGAGCGAAGGGTACTTCAAAGCCCGAAGTCAATACTCTTCCTTTGGGATCACGAGTAGTCCTAGATCTCTTGGATATAATTTCGGTGCCATCTGACCACGTGGTATTTTTCGATAATTGCTTCAACGTGCTACAGGAACGGTCAGGGACAATCGTATGAGAAAGTGCCCTTTTTTGGAAACTAAAGCTATTAAAAAAAAAAGGGGATATTTTGAACATATGTACGATAGCGACGCAGGCCTCCTTTTCGTCAGATAGAATGACAATAGTCCAGTAACTATGGTCACAAATTACCATTCACTAGAGCCCATCTACCGTGTGAAACGCTGGTCCAGTATTGCTAAGGAGAAAGTTGACGTTCCACAGCCTGCCATTTTCAAGAGTTACAATACATCGATGGGTGGAGTGGACTTACATGACCAATGTGTTAACAACTACCGAATATTCGAGGAAAGAAGTGGTGGTGGGTACTATTCACAAATATGATCAATATGGCAGTGGTTAACGTATGGAGGTTGTACCAGCTATATTCGGGGGAGCCAATGGGCCTGTTGAAATTTCAGAGAAACATAGTTCTGCATTATCTCGTAGGGAAGGAGAAATCACAATTCAATAATCGTCCAGCTGGTCATGTACCAGTCACCGCCAGGAAAGTAAAAGATGGACATTACCCAGAAAAAATTTCAGCACAACTGCGGTGTACTGAATGCCACCAGAAAGCAAGATGGCGCTGCGAACAGTGTAAAGTAACATTGGGCGCGTTCATAAGACACAACTGTTGTGGAACAGTTACCGATACGTCTTATAATTACGTCGCTACTTTTACGCTCTTTACGGAGCAGTCGGCCATTTTTAGTAGCGCAGTGTAAATTGACAAGTATCTTGTCATTTAAGGTTAATTATTCGCTATTTTGGGATTACGAATTTGTTATTATAAGTTTTGATGTTTTTGTGTGATTATAATGGATTTACAAGCGATTATTGCTCTTTTGGTTGAAGATCGAGGTATTAATGTTGCAATAATTGAAAATGTTGCTTTAGATTTAGCAGAACCCCTAAACATTATTGGCAATGAGGTAAGGGAACGAAATGCTATTCCTCGAAATTTAAATTATTATGAGGAAACAATCCCTCAATATGTGGGGGATCTGTTCGTTCAGCACTTTAGGATGTCGCGAGAATGTTTTGAAGAATTAAGTACTGTAATTGGAAATAATCAACGACTACAAAACTCGATAATACCAATGCAAAAGAAGATACTGTTTACTTTGTGGGTGTTGGCCAAACCAGAATCATTCTTGGCAGCAGGAGATCGATTCGGATTGGCTAGAAGTACTGCACATGGTATTTTTAAAGATGTTGTTGCAGTCTTTGTAGAGTTGCTAAATAGATATATAACGTGGCCAAATAATCATGATACGGCAATTAGGGCATTTCATGACAAGTCAGGTGGATTCCCTGGAGTTATTGGGGCTATTGATGGTTGCCACATTCAAATGAAACAACCAACTGCAAACGCTAACGATTACTATAATCGTAAACAAGTGCATTCTGTAATTCTTCAGGGAATATGTAATAATAAAAAACTATTTATGGACATATATGTGGGTATGCCTGGCAGAGTGCACGATGCACGTGTTCTGCGTACCAGTCCAGTATATGGTCGTCTGGTAAATAACAACAACACAATAATGCCACAAAATTGCCATATTCTTGGAGATTCGGCTTACCCCCTAATGGAAAATCTCTTAACACCTTTTCGGGACAATGGGCACTTAAACGAAGACCAAATACGTTACAATGTTAAATTGTCAACGATAAGAGCAGTTATCGAAAGGGCCTTCGGTCAATTAAAGGGAAAGTTCAGGCGTCTGAAATATTTAGACATTGCAGAACCTGACTTCGCAACAGAAATTATTACTGCTGCTTGTGTTTTGCACAACTTTACCCTTATGTGGGGAGAAGAAATGCACGACAATGAAGCAATTATAGAAGGAGAAAATAATCACCAAGAAGCCGATGATAACGATGTTGTCGCCGACCATCAAAATGGCGTAGAAAAACGCAATTTTATTGTAAATATTTCACGACATTAGAACAAACAATTCATGGTATTACTTTTTGGATTATCTTCTTTCTAACATTAATTTTAAAATTTCATTCCTTTCTTTTTGAATATCATTACTCTCTTCTATTGCTTTGCGCAGCAAAGTTATTTCCATTATCCTTCTCTCGAGTTCGAGTTGTTTTTTTCTCTGCCTGAACAATGTGCTCATTTTATGTGCGCTGCCGCTAGGGGTTTTCGTAGGTGCGCTTTCTGCTTCACTCACTTCAAATGTTTGCGATAAGGCTTCTGGTTTATCTCTTATTGGTGGCATGCTGGAAATTGTATGTGGTATATTTACACTTTTGTCTTCTTGAAATAAATCGTCAAATGATTCATAATGTTCCCACGAAATTCTACCTCTTCCAGTCCTAGTTATTGTATCTTTTAATCCAGTGTAGGTTTTCTTTAAATTTCTAAATTTTCTGTCTAAAATTTCTTCGGTTACCTCGTAACCTTCCTTTAAAAATTGACTTTTAATTTGTGCCCAAAGTGCTTTTTTTTAATTTTTGGATCTCTGAACTTATCCTTTAATGTTTTATAATTTGAAATCAGTAAAAGTGTGGTATTACGATTCCATGCGAATTCAGTACCTAAACAATGTAGAATTAGATAGTCTAATTGGGAGTAATAATTAGCTACCTAAATTGCAATTTGCATTTGAACCACTAGTAGATGGTTGGGGCGATCATCAATACTTTGTTCATTCACCATAATATTGGCAGCTATTAATTGCTGTTTATCTACAGCAATTAATTGCTCATTACCTAAACAATTAATGAACATTAGATTCTTATGGTGTAGATAGGAGTACATCGTTATAATCATAACATAATTTGTCTACATGTCATTAGTTACATAGTTAATGACCTACCATACCCATCTTCAAAGGTGCACTGCAACTTTCCATCTTCAGTCATAATAATGTTTCCTGAAGAATTATATCTAAAATCTTTAAATGCCATATATTCTTGGGCCATTTTAAACTCTGTTACCCGCGATATAAGAAATGTAAACTGCGCACGTTCGACAGTTGTCAAAGTATAGAGAGTGACGTTAACGTCAAGTGCTCGTGTCAAAGTAGCGGTCGTGTCATAAGACCACAACTGTTACCGATACGCTACGAGGTAGCGTAGCGGTAACTGTTGTGTCTTATGAACGCGCCCATTGTGAGTAGAACGAAAGTGTTTTAAAAATTATCATTCTTAATTTTCATTCTGTTTTCCGACAATAATAAATTCTGTTACAATATTACTCTTGGTAGTCGTACATACATACTATCACTATTATCAATTTCCGGATGAGTTAAATTTGACTTTTGATTCAATTTGAGCTTATAGACGATGTCCATGCATCAAAATATAAATATCCTTCAAAAAATTTCGTGGACGTTAAAGGGTGAAAATACCCTGTACATAACCGAGGCACGTGGCGCAGTGGTCGCGCTCACCGATGCTATTCGGGAGGTTGTGGGTTCGAATCCCGCTGCCGACTGCTCTGTCTGGGGTTTTGTCAGGGGGTTTTCCTCAGACATACGTAGCTTCGCATAATGCTAGCATTATGTTGAAATCTACGAGGCAAATGCTGGAGCAGTACTCTCCCCCTCAGCACCCTAACTCCGTTCCTTCCGTTCCCATCCCTAACTTTACCCATCCTTACAATCCCGTTCTCTGGCTGAAGAGGGCCAGGAAGCCCTGAGCAGCCCGCCTCCGGTATCCCTGTAGTCAGGGGTGCCGGAGGAATGAAACACGTTGGCCTTTTTCCTTTTTTTTTTCCTTCCCTGTACATAACCCTTTTTGCCTTGCCTGTATATATTCCTACGTGTGCGCGCATGAGCCGCAGAAGCGCAATATATGCAGTCGTCGCGCAGAATTCGTCCCATTCTTCGCCAAGAAGCAATCGACTCAACAACGCAACGTTGAGAATTCGCCGTTCATCAATGGCCGATTAGCTTTCGTCGTTCGCGTATAGATCTCGGTCGATCCACAACAAATCAAGATGTCTCCGTGCAGTTCGCAACATCGTTATTGTTAACAAGCAGAACGTCAGCACCGCACATCATGAAGATTTCGTTGTAACAAAATCGACAAAATCGTAGAACAGAGCAATCTTCGCCATTGCAACATCGCCTTCGTTGTTAATGGACTTCGAAACAGCACGTAAGTTCCTTTGTTTACATTATCCTTCGTAACTATACCATATTCTAGTGCCTTCGTGTCTACGTCAACCATCCCTTGTAACACCCAAACGTACAATGGAAGTACAAAGTACATACATTTTCGTAAAATTAAACATCCACTGGACGTACAGATTGTGTACTTTGACGTTCAATGGATGTACAATGGATGTACAATTGGCACAAGAATGGATATCTTTATTTTTTTTTATTTTTATTTTATTATCCCTCTCTTGTTTTGGGCCCTCAACAGGCATGCGCCCAATTACAGAGTGACCCGCATAATGCTATTTAGAGGTGCCTCTGCAGAAGGATATCCATAGAACATCCATGTGAAAGATCCAATGGACGTCCTCAAAGGATGTACAATGGATGTACACATGCTACAAAAATGGACTACTATGGTACGTGCGTTAACGTACGGTTTACTGCAATTATTCCAAGGAAATAAATAAATACTAAGGTGTTACGAGATTAATATTTTGCTGCAATAATAGTATGTAGGTTATAATCAAATTAAACTTTATCCTTTCTTTCGTTTGCTCTTCTTAACCACTTCGCAATTGATTTTTCAAAAATAATTTGTTGGGCTTTCGGAAAAGCTGATAGCCCAGATTCTACAAAATTAGTCCATTTAGTAAATTGCAGAGCCCACTTACCAATTATTAGATTTTAATTTTTGAAATGGCCTCTTTTTTTGCGACCATAGTAGCTAAATGTTGTTGCAAATTTGTTTGTAACGAGTTTTTCTAACAACCTCGCAACAAAATTGTATGGATCTGTACTTCCTAATCTTGCTAATTCTTCTAACTCGATAACATAAACTGCGTTAAAATAACAACAAAACATTGAGCTCACCGCTTTATGAAATTCTGCAGTACCCTTGAGAAAATTTTCTACTTCATTAAGACATTCACTTGTATTTATTGGAAAGTTATACTTTTAAAGAATAGTTTCCCGTTCTTCTGGCTGATGGTTCCTTGGCCACTTATTTTCCATATTTGCAATTCTTTCGTTGATACTATTCAAAATGGCCATGATCACATTCTGAACATTGTGAACTATTTTTACTAATAGCTCTAAATTAAGGATTATATTAGAAAAAATTTTCCAATGTTCAACATACCTCTATCAGTAGTGGTGTCCTTACCGTTGGAACGAGTTTTTAAATTTGACTGCCCTTCAGTTGTTATTGTTTGAATTAACTCTAAAGCAGAACCATGTCCATTCTCGGATGTCCTTGGAGATACATGAACAGAATACACATTTGTAATATTGCTGTTTCTATTCTGTGAAGGCCGTATTCTGTGATTGTAACCACATTGGTATTTTGTAATCATACACTCAGAGAAAAAACTATGTAGAATTAACCAAAACGAGACTATAATTTTGCTCCTATCAATGTTTCTGGTAAAATTGACCATATACCCAGATAGCACAAGTAGATACTAAAGACATCTTAAAAACGTTCGCAACAGGACATTCGGAAGTCCCAAGAACATCCATTTCCGGTCCTGGGATGTCCTAAGGATATACCAGAGACACCAAATGTTACTAAACCAGAAGTCCGGGGGATGACTTCCCCGACTTCTTTGGGAGGTCTGAACTACATTCCAAGGACGTACTGAAAAATATGCTTGCCGTGTGCTCTTTTTTATAATAATAGTAATAATTAATCATAATAACATAATTGTATTTATCAAATACATATATATTTACATTTCAATTTTTTTTTGTTTTCTTTTGCAGTTATTCTCTCGCTACTTCGTTTGATGTAGCTTTGAATGGCACTTTCAACATCTTTTTGGGTGCAGTTTAGGCATTTGTTGGCAGCTTCTATAAACAATAAAAATGAAACGTTAGTTGGTACCTAATTACAATTATATCAAATACTTGCGGATCAACAACTTTGCGATGTTTAATTGATAGAATGGCCTTTTGCCTTTTCGCCCCAGCCAACTGTAGCTCACAAGTAATGTGTCTTTCATCAACATTGATGTTGTTCTTTTAATAAAATTATAAGGGTTTGCACCCCCGAACTTTGCCAGTTCATTCACCTGAAGTGAAAAATAAAATTTATACTAGTTATGACTGGTGTGCAGACAATGAAAATTGGGACTATCTGCATACATTCTAAAAATTCTATTCTAATAAATATTCTAATATAGAATGATAACGTTATTAAAGATAGAGAAGAGATAGTAAACTATACAGACATGTACAAATTTCCTAATTTACGTGAGATGAAACATTGGAGGAATAAATACAGGGTGTTTTTTTGGGAGCTTTAGTTAAAAGTTTCTGAGAAAGTAAAACAGGTAGGTTTTTGAAAATTTGTACTTAGGAGTTACTCTGAAGGCCGAATCGATGTAAAATATTTTCAAAATGGCCGCACTTCCGGAAACACTGGAAATAGATAGTAACTTCGTTATTTTAAATGGCAACCCCTATTTTTTATTGCATTTTTGGATTCTACGTGAAATTTCACTTCTTTTGATACCCATATGTCGATATCTACCATTTATGGTTTTTAAGTTATTTTGACTTTAAGAAAAAAAAATGGCGGATGCAGATGGTACCTTGATAATTGATTACTTGAAAACGGTTGTAGTCATGGCAACCTATTTTTATCAGTGCATAGAGAATGAATAGGGCTTTCTTTTAGTGCACTTAAAAAAAAGTTAAGTTGCGTACGACCGCCCCTATGGATATCCAAATTTATGAAACTTCAAAGACTAAAAACTCAGCTTTTTTAATGGAATGACCATTTCCTTACTATTGTATGAGATAAAGAATCGAAATGGGCATATTTTGACAATACATGTTCCGATAGCTATCTTTAACAGTTTCTGACTTATTCCCATTTTATTGAATTGACACTATTTTTTTTCGGATTTTCTTTTTAGTAGTCGGCCATGATTCTATAACAATTGAATTTTAAACAAATCTAGTGACACTAATCCATCACCCACTGTTATAGGTTAACATAAGTTTTTCAAAAATCGAAAAATGACTCGCAGTGGTTTCATCTATTTTGAAATTTAATTGTTATTTATGGTGAAATGGGCAGAATCGCGGCGCGTGCTTTCCGTACATTCATTCGAAAACTAGAACGAAATTGTATTAATTTTGGAAATTTTGTACCCCTAAAAAAAAAACAAACCGTTGAAACACAAGTGATACAAAGCTCTACAAGAGAATATTTAAGAAAATTAATTGAATTGAAAATGCAAGATTAACAAAATAAATTCAATGCAAAATATAAAAAACTTCGTTGAAACATTTTTGGTATGGAATTGTTGCTAGAACAGATATCGCATTACCTCTCTTAATTTCCAGACTTATACGTTGTTTAAGAAATTCAGTTGAACGACTCTGTTTAGATTTTTCAAAAATTTTCTGTCCTATATCCTTAATAAATGATTTATTTATTAATGAATGATTTAGACTAGAACTAGAATCAGTGGTATTAAAGAATCCATTCCTTGATTTGTTTAAAATTCGATTGTTATAAAATCATGGCCAACTACTAAAAAGAAAATGCGAAAAAAATGGCATCAATTCCGAGAACAATTCAATGAAATGGGAATAAATCAGAAACTGTTAAAGATAGCTATAGGAACATGTAATATCAAAATATGCCAATTTCGATTCTCTATCTCATGCAATATTAAGAACATGGTCATTCCATTAAAAAAAACTGAGTTTATAGACTTTGAAGTTTCTTAAATTTGGATCTCCATAGGTGCGGTTGTGCGCAACTTAACTTTTTTTTAAGTACACTAAAAGAAAGCCCTATTCATTCTCTATGCACTGATAAAAATGGGTTGCCATGACTATAACCTTTTTCCGCATCCGCCATTTTTTTTCTTAAAGTCAAAATAACTTAAAAACCATAAATGGCAGATATCGACACATGGGTATCAAAAGAACTGAAATTTCACGTAGAATCCAAAAATGCAATAAAAAATAGAGGTTGCCATTTAAAATAACGAAGTTACTATCTACTTCCGATGTTTCCGGAAGTGCGGCCATTTTGAAAATATTTTACATCGATTCGGCCTTCAGAGTAACTCCTAAGTACAAATTTTCAAAAACCTACGTATTTTACTTTCCCAGAAACGTTTAACTAAAGCTCCCAAAAAAACACCCTGTATAGTGTTTCTCGTACTGCCTCAATAAAGTGCTCCTCTATTTTTACTTCTTCTTCAAAGGAATTCAAATCCTCATCGTTTGCAATTGGAAATTCAATATTATATTTTACAAAAATGGATTGGGCGATTGTGGAGTCCCGTTCTGGTTTCTTGAGATCACGCAGTTCCTTAAGAACATCAGCCAGCATACAGCGAATCATATGATTTTGGGTTTTGATTTCGCTTAATAAACTGTGTTCTAAAAGTAAAAGTTAATTTCGAATTAAATTACTTATACAGAATACCACGTTGTAAACAGCAGCCTCTTCCGTCATCTTTGGGTGAATCTGCAACACGTTAAGTATAGTGGGTCTTACAATGCTATTGGAGCACCTACCATGTATAACTTCATCATATGATGTAGTGGCTGTATTTACATAAAAATCGCCTGAAGTCGGAGTTTTCCCAAAACCGCTGCTCCGTTTCTTACAAGATTGTGTGATATTTCGTGGTTCATCACCTAAAATAGAGTTAAATAGCCTGCATTTCTGGATTGTTTGTCATACCTACCATTTGAATGTGATAAACTACATGGTAGTTTTGATGGTTGTTGCATTTCACAGTCATCAACAGACTGATCAGTATTATGTGACTGATATCCTAAAACTGGTTTTGTGACTTATTCATAGTTCCAGTACGTGTTTTATACCTGGTGATAGTGACAATGTCATTTTTGGACGTGGTGGTAGTTTGGATTTTTTTTTTGTAGTTGAATCATCGGATGAACTGGAGACTAATCTTTGTATACGCTTCCTCTTTCTTTTCTCTTGTGATTCATTTCCAGAGTTTAGATCACTGGTCACTTCTGCTAGTTTGGCTTTCTGTCGTGCAGTTCCATATTGATCTGAGAAAAAGGAACATATTATTTTCTTAAAAGTGAGGTGTATAGGTCTTACCACACGTTGCATTTAGAAAAATTTTTACGGAATGTCGAGGCCAACAAGTATTTAGTCCTTCACATTTTTTTATAGCATTACACACTCTGTCTTGTGTGTAGGGTGGCCAATGACAATACTCCCCTTGTATCCATGAAGTGGGAACGGCTTCCACACTTTGGTTTTCAAGAAACTGACCTACAGTCCACGTAGTATCTCCCATCTCCATGCCAATCCACAAAATTTCAATGAAATAAAACACTTAGTAAGTAACACCTTTTGAGTGTGCATATAAATATTAACAATACATTTAAACACATTTATTTAAAGCTACTTAAATCAAAGTATATTACAAAATGTTTAAATATACTAGTATATGTAAATGCCACGCTACATTACGCGATTGTTATGCATTGCAAGTTAAACGTAAGATGAAAATAAAGTTTTAATGCTGATGTAATTTTGGTTTTCTTAGCTCATAGTGAAGTATCAGTACCAGCACACTGTTTTAAACTTTCTGAGGAATTTTACTAAAAAAAATGTGAAGCCGTAAAGTATGATCAACTAAATTTGGTTTCCGAGAAGGCCGTGGAAATTTTAGGTCACGTCTAATATTAATTGACATTTCGCGTTAAAAGATGACATTAAAAATGAACTAATATTACACATGACCGATACGTCTATACTCCTCTTACAGGGCCTACTCGAGTCACTTTTTTGTTGATCATACCTTATGCAAAGCAGTGATAGAAAAATTGGCATAAAACCTTACATTGCATGATAATTGCATAATGTAATGCAACTTTACAGGAGGTCTATTACACCGCATGAAGCATTGGAAATACAACAAATTTATTTTTATAGGGCAGTTTTATATTCTTCCCAGTAATTTCTTTTACATCACATATCTCAAGACACCCCAACTCAGATACTACATGTGAATCACTGAAGAAGAACAAGGATCACTGTAAAAATCTTCTTGTAACATAAATTTTCTAGCAAAGATTTTATAGATATTTCTTTCTGTTAGAACAATATTCTCAATTAGTAGAATACCGCCATTTGATAGTGAGCAACAGTTGTTAGGTTCTTTAATTTGCAAAATAAAGTCTTTATAAACAATTCTTTTAAATTGCTTTGCGATAGTCAGATTCATAACAGGTCCATTATAATGTTCTTGCTCAAAGACAGGAAAATTTTGTTCCATTAAAAAAGTTGATGGAAAATCGGAAGTTAATTTTTCGCTATGTCTTTTTATAATTTGTGCTAGTGGTTTGTCTTGCTTACGTAGAGTTTTTAAGATCGATTGTAAGTAATTTTCAAAAGGAAACGCACTAAATGCATGTAAAGGGCCAAATCTTTTAACATCATCTGACAGGTGTATCAAGTTGTGGATATTATGTGAAATATATTCTTCTCCATATAGAATCTTAAAAGTTTTCACAAAGTACATTAAAAGTTCTCTGGCGTAATTGATATGATTCAAGTATTTTTTATTAGACAATAAAGTGATGGCAGTGTGTAACGTTAAAAAATGAATGTACCTATCTTCACTAATTTTACCTTTTAAAACAACTGGACCAGTGTAATATAAAAAACTACGAAATTCAGTTGCTTTCCACCGTTTCACCTCATTCAGACTTCTTGGTTTCCGGTTAAATTCCATCGGAAAATGCATTGATTGGTACACTAGATCATCGGATATTGTACAAATAGTGTGATATGAAAGCTTAGTAGCAGGTTTACCACAGCACCATAATAAGACCAATAATTTCTTAACGACCCCTAGGCACACCAAGTGCATATAATCTAATGGAAAACTATCAACCATATTTATACCAGGCACTTGTTCCAAAATTGACGTTCCAATATGATGACCTTCTTGAACTTTTGCTCTAAAATCTGCATCTGATCGTAACTTGATGTTTCTAGTTTCGACAAAGCAGATCCTATTTGCAATGTAATCGCCCTCTATTTCACATTTTGTGCAGGATGCATATCCTGAATGGCCTTTCGTATAGGTAACAAAGGATTTGGCAGGAGCATCACAGATAACAGAATTCAGTTTAACCACATACATTCGACCTAATAGTTCAATACCATGCTCAATAAAATACCTAAGATCTAAAATAAATGGTTCTAAGAAATCATTAGCTTCCTTCGGTTTATCATATCCGTGATATATGCCAATCATATCAACATCAGCAGTTCCTTTAAGTTTGCACAACATCGGGTACACTTGACTACTGCTGCTTTTCGATAAAGGCAAGCCATCAATGTTAATATCCAGTTCAATGCAATTTTTGTTTTTATAAATGCCAAAGTTTTTTACATATAATTTTTCTACAGGGTGTTTTTTTGGGAGCTTTAGTTAAAAGTTTCTGGGAAAGTAAAATAGGTAGGTTTTTGAAAATTTGTACTTAGGAGTTACTCTGAAGGCCGAATCGATGTAAAATATTTTCAAAATGGCCGCACTTCCGGAAACACCGGAAGTAGATAGTAACTTCGTTATTTTAAATGGCAACCCCTATTTTTTTATTGCTTTTTTGGATTCTACGTGAAATTTCACTTCTTTTGATACCCATATGTCGATATCTACCATTTATGGTTTTTAAGTTATTCTGACTTTAAGAAAAAAAATGGCGGATGCAGATGGTACCTTGATAATTGATTACTTGCAAACGGTTGTAGTCATGGCAACCTATTTTTATCAGTGCATAGAGAATGAATAGGGCTTTCTTTTACTGCACTTAAAAAAAAGTTAAGTTGCGTACGACCGCCCCTATGGATATCCAAATTTATGAAACTTCAAAGACTAAAAACTCAGTTTTTTTTAATGGAATGACCATGTTCTTACTATTCCATGAGATAGAGAATCGAAATGGGCATATTTTGACAATACATGCTCCTATAGCTATCTTTAACAGTTTCTGACTTATTCCCATTAAATTAAACGTTTCTGGGAAAGTAAAATACGTAGGTTTTTGAAAATTTGTACTTAGGAGTTACTCTGAAGGCCGAATCGATGTAAAATATTTTCAAAAACTGAAATTTCACGTAGAATCCAAAAATGCAATAAAAAATAGGGGTTGCCATTTAAAATAACGAAGTTACTATCTACTTCCGGTGTTTCCGGAAGTGCGGCCATTTTGAAAATATTATACATCGATTCGGCCTTCAGAGTAACACCTAAGTACAAATTTTCAAAATCCTACCTATTTTACTTTCCCAGAAACTTTTAACTAAAGCTCCCAAAAAAACACCCTGTATACAAGACTTAATTCCAAAATGGAAGTAATGACCGGGAAATACTGGTTGAGTTTCAACACTGCGACAGGTTTTTAATAAAGTACGAGCGTCAGTAGGTAAATGCGGAAAGTACGACTTGAAGTATTTAAGCAAATCATTAAGGGAAATGTGCGAAATGTGATGTTGAATGGACCAGTTCGAAAGAAATTGACGTATGTCAATACTTGCATCATTTGCCGTTGAGAGATTCATCGAAGTTGTATTAGCATATTCCGTTACATTTTCGTACACATTCTCTTGTATAATTGGGTCGAAGTTATCTCTTTCAAGTGCATTTGTTGAAATCGTGGTAATATGTTCTTCAAAAATTTCGCTCCGTTCATGTAGCACATCATCGTTACCAATATCGTTAACACCGCACCTACCATTTTCTAAATTCGGGAATTCCTTCGGTGCAGCCAAGGGTGGAGAATTTGCAGAATGATTCGTCTTACATCTCTTTGCACGCATATAATATTTTTTTACAAAGGCCATTATGCAGTGTTACAAAACTAACCTAATTTTCTAAATACGTAAAAATAAGAAAATAGGTAACTTACCCTCCCAAATCTAATAATGGTTTGACGAAAACTCAATCTAATCTTGACTTGACGACTCACGACAGTAATTACGAGTAATGGCGCCAGAAATAATTAATGAATAAAGATTAAAGGCGCCAATTGGCAATCGCGGATTTGGAGGTTAGTGGTTACTCATACAACTCCGTAGTACGCTCGATTGCCAGTTGCCACTAGAGGGCAATGCGGTACCTAAATTTAAAAAATTTCCTGTGGCGTAGTTTTCACATGTTTTTCTCTTATGATGAATGTATTTTACAAATCTACTATCTAAGATCGCACTAGTAATTTTTGACAACATTTTCCCGTATTGGTCGTAATATGGACATCCCCAGGAGGGCGCATTTAGGTACAGGACGTTCGGACCAACACAAGTTCGGAAACGGACGTCCCGAGGAGGTTTTGTGCTATCTGGGTAGAAACAGTAATTTAGCAACTAAATAATACTAAATAATGTTTAAATTACTAGCATAGTTGTCCGTTTACATTTTAAAGTTGTTTAATTTTACTTCGTTACTATAAAATGGCAAGCAACCAAATATATTGGTTGCCAACCACTGAAGTTGTAAATTAACAATGTAATTGTTGACTAACTCGAAAAAATGTGTAGTTCAAAATAACTACTTCTTAGGCTACCATTACATTTTACCGCTGAAATAGTTATTGTTACTATTGTATGGTAATTGATAAAAATACCGATGTTTAGGTAGGTGTACTATTTTAATAAGTAGCTGCTATCGAGCCCTCGACTTTGATAGGGTTTCAGGCATCCTGGTGATAACTAAAATACCATTCCACTATTTAGATCCTTTTTAATAACAAATATAAAAATACAAAAAAAAAATACAATTCTATTAACGCAACTAAATTACATTTCAAAACTGCATATTAAAAAACTTAAATGGAAGTAATACTTAAGAAAATACTTATAAACAATACAAAAAACGATGTTTCATAATCATTTTTCTAATAATACTTTGGACGGATAAAATTCCTACCGTCTGGTAACATGCACACGTGAACTGGATTGGTATAAAATTGATTTGGTGGCAGTACATTGAAAGTATCAGTTTTTTCAAGCACTTGAAATGACAGAAAATGTTTATTAAGTTTCGACAACTTATACTTTAAACAAATAAAGTACATTTTCTTACTTTTTGTAACAACAATATCACGGATTTCCCAGGCACTATTACTTTTACAAAGTAAAAAATAGTTTCTCTTATATTTGATACCTCTAAAAACTGCTTCTTGCAATAAGAATACATCGCTTCCCAAGTCCAAATCGATTTTACTCAGTTCTTGAGGTAAATTGTACATTAACGTTTTTAAGTTTACTGTCTCTTTGGCGTC